ACAATTGAAGGGAATAAACCCAAAGTCAAGGAAACTTTGTCTTCTTGTTTGTTTAAAGAGGGAAGAGATATGGGTTGATTAAATACTGAGAGAAATGTCCAATAGAAAGAGGGAAATGAAAGTCAGAGAAAAGAAGGAATGACTGGAGATGCAACACCCAGAAGAGAGAGGTGGAGAGATGTCTGAAATAGCCCAAATTCAACGTACTGTACTTGAGATGTGTGCATTCCGCAATATGCAAATTGTACTTCATTTAAAAAATCATTTCCAAAAATTCCATTAGATTGTTAAAGCTAGTAATTACAAGAATTTATAGCTCAGGGAAAATGAAAATTTATAGTTCAAAATATAAAGGGTCAGTCATTTTGTATTTTATCTTCTGTGTTGAGGCTGAGAGTGCTGGCCACAAATAGGGCAGGGTACTTTTTTATCTGTGCATTATTGAATTGTTATATGGTAGATTAGCATTAATTTATCCTGAAAACTTTCAATCTATACTTAAATATGCTACATTTAAATTTAAACTTGTTTTTAATCAGTTTAAATACAGTGCAATATGAAAACAAAAGTTTCCCACCGTACCCCTCTCCTATTAGTGAGTTCGACAGTAATATATTGAATTTCTCTTCATCTCTGAGTTGCCAACACCTGAATGAAATTTGGGGTGAATTAAAAGACTGCAGTGATTTCCATTACTAAACATCCAGGTCAGTCTAAAACTCAAATTTTCTATTTCAAATTTGAAAGTTTTCATAATGCTTATCACTGGCTAGATTTGGGGTCTGAAGGACTTGACGGAGTGGGGAAGGAATCTTAGTTTTCTCTTTAATTGTCCTTCTCAGTCTAGCTCTTCAGGGTTGGTCATAGGGACTGAGGAGAAATTCTCTAGATAATTTTGGGGTTACTCTCTGATGATTGTGAATTGCTTCAGTGGGATAAAGTAATGAAGAGTCTGGATTCACCCCAACTTTTGGTAACATGTAAGCAGTTCTCTTTAGAATGTGAGAATATTTCACTTAAAAAAAAAAAAATCTTAGGCCCTAGTTACCAATTTAAGTTTGATAGGAAAAGTCCCGCTCAACAGACCCCCACGCCCCACCACCTTAACATAATCAAGAACTAGTCAAAACAACAAATCAGTGTATATTTTTGCCATTATCTGAGCGATGCTTTAGGAAGGTTTGTCTTACAGTACAGTAATTTTGAGAGGAGACCTTGGAAATGGAATCTACTTGTGAAACTATTGCAGGAGCATGGGTAAGAGATAATAAGCATGTGTTTTATGGGTAAAAAAATGATAATGTTGGCTAGAGTAAACAGTAACTGCAAAGTTTGAAGTCTGGGTAATCAGGAGAAAAGAGGTATTTGGGGTAGAAAGAGAAAAGACAGAACTATGTTTACAAGGGAAGATGATGAGTAATACGAATATCCATTAAATCACATCATTACAATGAAAGTAAACACCTAAAATCAATTTGCTTTCAAAGATTATGATCAGATAGTAAAGTGTTATATCTTAAAGGGTCATATTTTTAAAATACAGAGCTTAATCTTGATGGTGGCTTTGTTTATTTGTTGAAAAATTTCCTGTTTTCTTGAATGAAAACTTCCAATAATTTGAATTTTTTCTCAACTGAAACACTTATCTATAAAATATCCTACATTCTTCAGAACAAAAGAAATGTTTTCTACTCTCCCCTACCCCATTCTAATGGGATTTTCAAACCTTGGAGACACAATGCATTAATAGTCATGTAACCTCCAAATTTTCAAAGTAAAATGTATCTTATTAGCAGAATATGTGTATTTTAGAATTAGGAAACTAAAGATTTTAGAGGATTTGATCTTAATAATAATAAATAGGCTTTATTTTCTTTTATCATTCAGCTTTGTATGATTTCTAAATCTAAGGGTGTGTGTGTGTGTGTGTGTGTGTGTGTGTGTGTGTGTGTGACAATAATTAAAGGTTGAGAGCTGTTTAAAAAGAGATTGTGCTAACGAGGCAACAAATACCTCTTGTATTTATTGGAAAGGCTGAATCATCCATCACCGAAAGATGAAAGAAAAGGTGTTTGATGTTTTCCAATTTATAAAAGTATACTTGCTTGTTTTAGTATATGAAGCATCTGTAAAGGGAAGCTAATCATCCTTCCCCTGCCTCCTCACCTCACTAAAGTTATCAATGTGAACAGCCTGGTGTGTATCCCTTCTCTGCTTTTCTCCCAGCTTATACAATTATATATAAACATACCACACATTTCTACTGTTTTTACTTGCTTTTACCATATAAAATTGTACTATACATATTACATTGCAAAGAATTTATTTATTAAAAGTGGGCATTCCTTCAACTCTGTAATTTTTCTATGCATACATATACATATATTTCTGTAATTCTACATAAATAGGATCATATCATACATGCTGAGATACTTTTATGACAGTCTGTCTTTTTTCTTTTCTTTCAGTCTTCCTCTCTCTCTTATTCCCCTTCTTTCTCCACCTCCACACCCCTGTTGTAATTGTGAATCCTTCTATGTTTTTTTTCATGCTCTTAACCTCTGGATTATATATATGCATAATCCAGATACATACACATTTCCATATTTTTCTTCATATCTTTTACTCATTTTAATTTTTTTATTTACCTCTGCTGGTCAATTTGTGTATTGTAGATATAAACTACATTGGTATTTGAAAACATGTTTTCAAATAAATTATTTTTTTGGTGATGGTGATTTGTTGCATTGCTGTTAAGAAAGTCTGTTTTTTCTTTATATAGCATCTGAGGTTCACACATTGGTTAAGAAGATATCCCACAGTTCTAGGTTGCACATGTTGTATCCTGGATTTTCTTTTAACTTTTTATTCCTTTTACACTAAAGTCTTTTACCCATCTGGAATTTATTTTCGATGTTCGGGGAAACAGTCCAACTTCCTTTACTTTCAGATGGAAAGCTAGCTGTGCTGGTACCATATGTTAAAATACCATTCTTTTTCCAATAATTCAAAATATTCCTGTGTCATATATTACATTAACAAATATTGGGAACTATTTCTAGAATCCAGTTTTCTATTCTTTCCATGGAAATATTTTTCAATTTCTATGCCAATACTATATTAATTTCATTTTAATGGCTTCAGAGCATGTTGCTATCTAGTAATGGAAGTTCTCCCCCACATTCTTATTTTTCAATAATTTTCTTGTTTATTCTTGTTTTTCTTATTTGTTTCCTTTTGTCAAATGAAATTTAAGATTATTTTATGCAATCTTTTTAATATTTTAATTAAAATTGCACTAAATGTATACATTAACTTCAGGAAAATGAACATTTTAAAAATGATAAGTCTTCTCTTTGCCAGAAAAATTGATTGACCTATCTAAATGTTATACTACTGGGATATTATCTGGTTTTGGCATATCTATAAGTATGTTAAATAGAACCACGTGACTTATCTGTGAATTAAAGCCATCGACTGAAGTAATAGCTAACCTCCTTAATACTTTATATTATATTTCAGTTGCCTCTTCGTTGGCTTTCATCTAGAGTACAATCAACATATGATCATTGTTAGCACTGGTTTTTTCCATAATCCCACCAGATTCTACATTAGATTTTCAAACACATATTCCCACTGTGGCTACTTCCTTAAGGT